GGCCCATACTTTATACAGAATATCTATGTATTGGATCAAATAGTAGCTCAAACCAGGTTGCAGATGCATTTGTTAATGTACCCTGCCTCTTTCAGTCCAGAGCTCTGTATGACTGTTCACTCAGATGCCCCAGAGAAACCTTACAAGTAGGATAAGATGGATATTCCATCACGTGGAATAGAAAGGTATAATGTATCCTAGTCATAGATAGATGGATTCTAACCTGAATTTATCTTAGCTGCCTGCTTATGCTCTTGGCTATCACCATGTCCTGTGATAACTTAATTTCTTCAATTAATTATATGTTGTGCCACACTTCTAAAATCCTATTCTACAGGAAAAGATATATAGAAGGAATCTTCTCTGGGCCGTTGCAGACCGGCCCAAAGGGCCGGCCTGGGAGTGGAGTTGGGGCAGGGCAGTCACACGCCGGCCACCCCAACCCCACCCCGACGCTGTCCTGAGGCCATGCAGCCCTACGCACACCATGCGGGATCAGGACACCCTCCTGGTGCAGCGTTTAAACATGCTGCGCCGAAAGGGTGCTGAAGAGCCGCGGTGCCAGCTCTTGGGGCAGCATTTTGCTGCTCTTTTAGGGGTGGCAAAAGGAAGGATTGGGGCTATGGCGTGGGGCTGCTGCGGCCCCGATTCACTGCTTTTCTGAGCGGCTCTCTGCTGCCCCATACGGGCTGTGTACATCGGCCCTCTGTATCCAAAGCTGGTTACTGATCATCTAGAGCATCTTTAGTTGTCTGGTAATGGTAACTGGCAAGGGTTGTGTCAGGGACTAGCAACATATTTATGGCCATTGGTTATGACTGTTTCTTTCCTTTGTAGAAACTCATCACAGACTAGCAGCCAATAACGCATGGACTGGCACCAGCACACAAACCATCATTTTAAATAGCACTGATGGTTCTTAGAGAATTAAAGGAATGGTCTGAGCAAATGATAGTGATCTGGAAGTGTTAATTGTGGAATTTCTGGGAGTGAACCCAAAGTACAAAGTTACAGTGCTCCCAGAAACTCCATCATTATACACCACCATAAGCCCAGTTTTCCTTCAGAATCTAAGCATAGTCACACTTGGATAGTGCATGAATAAGATATTTCTAGGGAGTACCATGAATCTCAATGTAGGGCTAGAAAAGACTCCTGCCTGAAACACTGGAGAGCTGCTGTTATCAGATATGACAGTACCAAGCTAGATGGCCCAATAGTCTGATTCAGTTTATGGGGGCTTTTTATGTCCCAGGAGACTTCTCTGAGTGCTATTAGCCTTGCAAAGAACATGTGCAAGGTTGGCTGTAGCTCCCATTAATTTCAAGGAACTGGTGGTGTGGGACGTTGGTGGTGGTTCTGATGCATACTGGAGAAAACAAGGAGAGTGCTAACACCAACACATTGACAGTATGTTGTCAAGTTATGCAATTTGTTACAAGTACAGATGTGGTAATGTTGATGATAACAATCTGATCATTGCAAGGGATTACACATAATGCAAAAAATTCCTTTTCCAATTAGCATTACAAGCTCTGAGTGTTATGTACTATTTCAGGTTTTTTTGTTTGTTTTGGTTTTAAATTCATTGCTACTACTTCCCCCTCCTCCATCTCCATTCCCAGATGTTGTTTGGCATAATTTCTGTCTCTCTATCTTTCTCTCATTTATGATGATTGGATACATACTTACACGTTATACTTTTAATCATGAAATGCTTATCACACTTTTATTAGTTGTGGATAAAAAATATTTCTTATATTTGGGAATTGTGAACTGGACCTTTTCAATGTAGTTGACATGCTTAAACTGAAAAAAAGGAGGGGAACCTTAGGATTTAAGGATTAATTTTCTGTATTATCTGAACTTGATTATTCTGGTTATTTTTTAAATTCCCATATTGTATTCATATTCTTCTGCCCTATAGTTATCTAAAGCCTTAGGTCTACACCCAAATTCCATTAGAATACATCCACTACATAAACTGGAACTTTGTAAGTCAGCCTTACATGTCTTTCCACTGATTTAATAGGTCTATTTTAGTGGACACTGACAATTGGATACCACTTTTACTAATTTGTCCATTCAAATAATAAAATATCAATTGAAATAATAAGATGTCAATGTTACTAGGGAGGAGCAAATGTATCTCTAGTCCAAACCACTGGAACTTCTTTTGAACACCACTTCAGCTTCCCACATTTCACAATGTTGTCCACATATTTTCACGGCTATCTTCTAGTCATACAGGCTGTACATTTGCATTATCTTGGGTACTGAGAGTAAGCAATTGGTCTTGTTCTCTCTCTGAAGGGCAATGTTTCCACCTTAGAAGCTTTCTTGGGCTTGGCAATTCTGTGGAAGTAGAGGGGAAAGTATCTGCTGTACTTATTTGGCTCAGGTTACCACATTCTATCGACATGCAGATAAATTTATTGTAACTTATGGTGTGTACTGTAACTTAATGGTGTCTCCCTATGAAAACAGAGACCTGATGAAAATATAGCTACCCAGATGTTGGCAAGGACAGGTTGATCAGAACATGTTACACAAATAATGTTGCAATTTTGCACTGGTTGCTGGTGTATTCCCAATTCCAGATGATGATAATTAACATTTGAATGGTTTGAGATTAGTTTTTTCTCTGGAGGGCAACCTTCAACTATACAGTGGTACCTCTACTTACGAAATTAATCTGTTCCACAGCCCATTTCTTAAGTAGAAAATTTCATAAGTAGAAGCAAATTTAACATTGAAAATGCCTAATCCGTTCCAGGCCCCCAAATTCAAGCTACAACTCAATACAAATGTATAATACACAGGGTTATTTCGTTAAGTACCTCTAATACAAACATGTTACATTACCCTTAAAGAACAAAAAAACATAAAAATGAGTTGCAGGACTAATCCAAAGAATAAAAAATAAAAATAAAAAAGTTTCATTTACCTTTTGGGTCAGCCGGCTGTGCAATGGCAACAGTGAGGGAGGGAGGAGGGAGGAGGAGGAGTCATCCGAACACACCCAATTGAAAAGAAAAACACACTTCCTCTCCTCTCATGCAAGCCCAGACAATGCTACCTAACTTAGTTTCACTAGGCAAACACTTCCTGGTTCTCTAGCCAATAGAGTGCTGCTTTGCCAGATTTCACTAACCAATAGCATGCCACGAAATTCAAAAAGCAGCTCCTTCCAGTCAATTTCGTAAGTAGAACAATTTCGTAAGTTGAAACAAAAATTATCTGTAGGCGCATTTCGTAAGTTGAATTTTTCGTAAGATGAAGCATTCGTAAGTAGAGGTACCACTGTACTTGGAAATCCACTTTGGATGCCCTGCTTGCATGCCCACCAGTGAGAGCATTTGGGCTGGCAAGCGTGCGGGATCAGCTGTGGCTCTATATTTGTAGAATTTTATTCCCGCTTTAATACATCCAGCCCCATCACTTCAGGCTATCAGATATGTTTTGGAAGCCTATTTATTTAGAATTACTTTCTTTTAAGCATATATTAAGCACTGTTTTAAAGTAGTTTTACATTGTTTGGCCGTAGTTTAATGAATATTAAGCTTGTTGTGCTGTACTGTTTTATTGTTGTCATGCTCTGCTGTTACATGGCATCACTCTGTTTTAAAATATTTTAAATGCTTTTGATTTGACTGTGTTTCTTACATATTTTGGAAGCTATGGCTGAGCTCCTATACACTTTTAGTGTTGTATAAATATATGCCAGTATAGCTATGCTGTGTATAGCTGTGCACAAGGAGTTGTGCAGTGAGTACCAAGGCCTTGAGCTTTTCAGTTGTACATTGTCAAAAGAGAGAAAGTCAAGTCAGTTTTTTTCATCATGCCAATGGCCACTGCAGTTTTAACAAGTGCAGTACATACCAACAAAGTTTACCAATAAAAGCATACTAAGGCTAAGATATTAAAACAATCATATCTCAGAAATATATCTCTGGTACTGAAACTGAAGGGCTTTGGCATAGACATAGAATCTTTTAATTCATTTAACATGACTGACACAAGAGCATACTAATACCGATACTAAAACAATTGTACATCACAAATGTATCTCTGGTACTGAAACCAAAAAGCTTTGGCAAACATATAAAATCACTGAATTAAGTTAAAAATGAAATTGTACAATTTAAAGTTTAGGACTTGGTTACAGCATATACTTTAAAATTTTGTGATTGTTAGTGTAACCCACTTCTTGACAGCATAGTTTAGCCATAGCAGATAATTCATATATGTGTAATAATAATGATACATGTTTCAGCTCTGTCTTTGGCAGACTGAACACATTCTTCCAGTAACCACAGCTTGGTTGCTTGTCATTTATTCTTAACAAATACAGGCTGTCATTTCTTCACAGACCTGATAGCATAATGAAACATTCTCATTTAAAATAATATGCATTAAAACATTTTTAAACAGATTACCAGAACTAATCTCTCTAAATCAGTGTAAGTCAGTCCTTCCCAACCTGTTCCCTCCAGATTGTTGTGTGTGTGTCTCTGTGTGTGCATAAGCTAAATTGTACTACCTTTATAGCTTCAATAGTTTTAGAACCTTTCAAAACCCATATTGCTTAGGACCAAAATAGACGTTATGAAATTGAGGAGTAGAGGTTTTATGGATATGCTTTAAAGTGAAAATTAATCACAAGGTGCTGTAATACAGGGTTTTAAACTTTCCCCCTGTTTGCTACTTTATTTCTGCTTGGTTTTTGCACCATTTACAGATAGTAATGTCTGAAAGCTTTAGTCTTGCACAAGCATAATTGTGGATATGCTCTACAGTAAAGAAAGAGCTGCAGACTGCTGCACTTTGTACTCCATCAGCACATGTATTGTAGTTGTAGCCATCTTGAGAAACAGGGGAAAATGAAAACAGAAACTATAAATATTTGTAATAAAAATTAAGTACTATATGTTATTTGGACATAAACAGTTCCAGAGAGCCACCACCTTAGGAACTATGCTTTACATTTGTGTATAACAGCCAGTGTGGTGTAGTGATTTGAACATTGTTGGACTATGACTCTGGAGACCAGGGTTCAAATCCCTGCTCAGCCATAGAAACCACTGGGTGATCTTGAGCAAGTCATCCTCCTCCTCACAGGCAAACCCTCTCTGAACAAATACTACTAAAAACTAAAACAACCAAACCCTGTGATAAGTTTGCCTTAGGGTCACCATGAGTCAGAAATAACTTGAAAGCATACGACAACAACAAACTGCCTGAAAACTGAAAATATGGAACTCCTTAATAGCATATTACCATCATAAACAATGAAGGCTCACCTGTATGGTGTTCTCATGAAGGTGACAGTACTTATTTAAATACAAAATATAGCTTGAATTTGAGTGTTGTGTAAATCTACAATATGCACAAGTAATACACATTCTTCCATACCTCAGAATTGATGCATAAGAATGATGAAAAAAGATGCTTGAATCACTCACATTTTTGCTCTGGACTGCATTTGAAGCCACCCATTGGGATGAAACAGTTGATCTGGGTTTTGGCTGTGAATGGTTATGCTATCACTCTGTCTCAGTCTCCTCTGGTAATAACTGTCCAGTTACCAACTCTTCCTAGCATTACTGGGACCAAAGTAGAGTAGCTGTTAGAGCACTGGAGTGGGACTGGGAGTTCCTGATTCAAGTTGCCACTGATCCAAGAAACGCACAGGGTTACCTTCAACCAGTCTCTCTTTTTTTCTCTATCTCTCAATCTTAGCTTGACCTACTCCACAGGACTGTTGTAGTGAGAATAACGTGGGGAGGAGACCTGTGTATGCACTTGACTTCTATGGAGGAAAAGCAGGTTATAAATGCAAATTTTAAAAATATGAGTGCATATAAATGCATTTTAAAAAACAAACTACTCTGTTCTGGATGGTCACCATCCCTGATATCATCTTCAAGGCTGCACAGCCTGTTTTGTGGCTCCAGCTGTAGCTGGAATCAACATCTGGAACCACCCTACGAGGTTGAGATGCCAGTAGTGTTTTGGTACTGGAAGTTCTGTCCCCTGAAGGCCTCATATTCAGAGTTTCCTAAAGACACTTCTTATACTGGTGGAAATATATTCGGGAGTAGTCATATTGGCCATGCAGAAAAATACAACTTCCCTTGAGATCCAAGCTGTCTCTATTCTGTGGAAAGCTAGGGATCATTTTGCATTTATCCAGTTATTAGTGTGAAAGAACTACAACTACCAACTGTTGCTCCTAACTTGGACATCTCAGTTCAGTTAAAATATTTACCTCAGAACAACCTTAGTCCCAGTTTTTCTCTTGAATAGTTTTTATGATTGGTTTCAGACTTTTAGATCACAGTACTACACCGTAAAATGCAACTTATGCAAGTTTGTATTCATTCATCTGCACTTTAAAAGGAAAAGGAAAGAAAGATACTGTGAGAAGATTCACAGATCTGCCTTGTGGTCAGAGATTTATTAGGTGATGCTGTTCCCTTGCCTTACCTGCCAAATACAGCAAATAAATCATTATCCTCCATTAACATAAGTATAGGATTAACTCAGGATTTTAAAAGGTGCATAATGACTGATACCAATTCCATTTCAAAGTTAATTTTCAGCCAAAGTCCCCCCCCCTCCTTTTAGACCACTTGCTTGAATTAAAATGGGTTTCACATCCTATCCTCTCCCTCCTCCCAGGCAGCTTTGGTTAGCCTTTCTTGTTTTAAATAAGGACACACACATTTCCCTGTTCCCAAATATTCCAAATCAATTTAGAGGCCAAATCTATTTCTCCTCATTTCCTTTTCCCTAAGACAAATTTTATTTTTTTCCCTGTAAAAACTTTTAAAAAAAATTTCCTGATTAAAATTTTTCTTCTTCGGAATATGATAAGTGAAATTCTTCCTAAGAGAAAGTTTTATTGAATCAAAATGCCAAAAACGATACATAAGACATTCTAAAGAATTCAAGAACAATAATTTCCACAGGCAGTGTCATATTCTTTACTTTTGGACATCATATATGGTTTGGAGTTTCTTATCTGTCAGCTCCATCCCAAGCTCACTGGTATATCTAGCACTGATGGGTTTTTGTTTTTGCTTTTGAAGGGTGTGTGTGCTGGTAGAGTGAAACCTGATTTGAAGAACTCTCAGAATTTCCTTGAATTTTGAACATAGCAAAACCTTTTCCTTGTCTTGCAATTGAAAACTGGTCTAGGTTGCAATCCTGTACAGACCTACCAGGGACTCCCATTGAACTCAGTGGAACATGTTTCTGAGTAGATGTGTGAGATTGCAGGAGAGAGAGAGAATTTAGATGAGGAAAACAACACAGCTAGAAAGAATAACTCCCATTTCCAAACATAAATTCAGAGCACCACACTCCATCCATTTATTTAATTGCTGTAAAGTAAAATTGAAATACTGTGATATCCACTTAGATATTTTGTTTCTTCTGCAGCTTGGCTCTACAGGTAGAAATAATGCAGTTTGACACCACTGTAATTGCCATGGCTCAATCCTACAGTATCCTGAGATTTGTAGTTTTGTGAGGCACTAGCACTCTTTGGCAGAGAAGGCTAAAGACTTTGTAAAACTATGATTCCCAGGTGGCTTAAAACCATTTGCTGCCCAAGGCAGGGGCCAAGATGGCACCCTGCACCATTCTGTGTACAAAAGCTAGCATTTGATTCTTACTTCAACATTGCCAAGGGGACCAAGATCCTTCTCCATACTTGAAGATAGCAGAGTAGTTTAGGAGGTGCATGCCAGGTGCTCTGACACACATACTTAGATTCTGCCCTGCCAGAGAAGCAAAAGGCTGAGGGACTGAGGAAAAATGTCTAGACAGAGGGCTACTAGTGCTGCCACCGATCACCTACATACTCTCCTTCATGGTAGAGCTGTCCCTGTCCCAAGGATAAATAGTAATGGAGGCTACCAGGTATATTCAACTTTAATATTATTAAAGTTAAACTATGTGTCGCAGATCTGTTGATCATAGCAGAACTGTGCTAACACAACATCTGAGTGTCAACAGAAAGGCAGCAAGGTTTACCTGCCTAGTGAATGCATGTTAATCCAGCAAAGCTCGGGTTACCAGGACAGAACAAAACATCCTTTTATGTCAGTGAAGCATATCTGGAGACTTTTTGTTCGCTATGCTTTGTTATCTGACTCTTGTAATGCAGATGACTTTCCCACATTGCATTTCGCTGTATGCCCTAAAAATGGGCCCTCAGGTTTCTTGTGTGTAAACAATTAGCTGTGTGTGAGTAGGACTGGTAAAATAATTGGAGGGTCAATAACACATTAATTTTTGGCAGTGAGCCTAGGATGAAGTTTGATAAACAAACTATCCATACACGCACACAAAGCTACTTTGCCCAATATGGACACTGTACTGTATTTTTAGCAGTAAAAGGGGCTTGCTTTTGCTTTATTTGATGAGTGAGAGGTTCCTTCCCTCTAAGCCAAAACAAACATTTTGCATAAGCTTTAAAATGATTTATGAAAAACATGTCAGGAAAAATTGCATCTTTATGACTTATATGGCACCTGTTATAGTGTTGTGGTGCATCACATTGGCATTCAAAATCAGATTTGGGTGGTGCTGGCTGGAGGATTCTAAGAGCTGTGGTCCCAACAAGTAACTTTGCCAAGATCTTTAATAATTACTGGATGGACTACATAGCATGGAGGTTTTGGTTAGCAAGCTTGTAAGGTTGAGAGAGAATGATCTGTCTAAATTTCTGCTGTGGTATAACTGCTTTTTGTTGCTTTTGTTAGAAATGCCAAACTAGAGGAATGAAAACATTAAAGATACAGCTGACCTTCCATATCCACGGATTCTTTATCCATGAATTCAGTCATCCACAGCTTGAAAATATTCTCCAAAAATGTAAATTCCAAAAAGCAAACCATGATTTTGTCATTTCATATAAGGGGCACCTATGCCATTGTATTTAATGGGACTTGAGCATCTGCAGATTTTGGTATCCATGGATGGGGTGGAGGTCCTGGAACCAAACCCTGGCAGATATCAAGAGCCCACTGTAGTATCTTTCCCTCCTTAAGAAAGGAGATCTTCAGAGTGGATAGCTCATACTGATCCCTTGCTTCTCTGGTTTGGATTGACAAAAACTGAAGAAACAGCAGTGCAAAACTGGCAATTCTGTGCATGCATAGTGCCATTTTTGAAAGCACATAATGAAGTGTATATCTGTCAAAAAAAAAAAAAGGGGGGGAGACCTCCCGATTGTAGATTGCAATTCCTATCATCCCTTGACATTGAGTGGCAAGGCTAGGACTGACAGGAGTTGTGGTTTAACATATGTGAAAGACCATACATTTCTTACATTCCTCTCTCTTTATGAGGGAAAGAGAGAGAGACTGGGGCTAGGTCCAATGAATTCAATGCCTCAGTTTGCTGGTTAGCCTACTAAAGTATCGGCACATTGTGTACTTCACATATTAGATTTTTCCCATTTAGCGAATTTCCCCATGTTCATTGGGTTACCTTTTTCTTTTGGAATAGAATAATATTTACTGTGTCAACTGAAATAAGTTCTAAATGTGAACAATGAGCAGAAAGGGCTTTAGTTTTTAAACCCTTTAAACAATGTAATTAGAAAGACATTAAACTTCTAGTGGGGGAAGAGGAATAATTTTGGCATTTCAAGATAGGTGCTGATGTGTCTGTTAAATCTCAAGGAGAAAGATCTCAACAAAGCATGTTTTAGAAATTAGTGCCATTATACATCTTGGTACTGGTCTGTTTTTGTTTGGTTAGTTGTTTTTTCCTAGCAGACAAACTTTGTGCATGGTTGTTTATAGCTGGTGGAGCTGTTAGTGATAATAGCAATGATAAAATTAAAAGGTATGTTTTGCAAGGAAATAATTGTGAAAGGAGTTCTTCTCCTACTTACTGAAATAGTGTACTATTCACAGTTGTTTTTGTAAATTCTCCTGTTCCACAGAAAGCAAGCTGACACTGATTTATATACCTGCTGGTAGTAGCTTAGCAACATCCTTGAATATATTGTTCTTGGGAAAGTCTCTAAGCACATTCTGTGATACATAACCATTGC